GGCTAATCAATTGGATATTGATTGCAACACTTCAACTGCTATATACTTCTAGACTTCATTGTTAACACATACTCCTTGTCAGTACCATGATGAGAAATGTATGGAGAACAGTATAGAGAATATGCATACTGAGGTTAAAGTTAAGAGAGATTGAGAGAAGAGCAGGAAGCACAATCACAGGTAACGATTTCCTACTTTCATACAAGGAATCTGCAATATTAGCTTGATACACTGTGGGTCAAAAATCTTTCCTCTACAAATCAAAACTACTCCAGAAGGAGCTGAGTTAAAATACCTGATCCCCAGATGCAAGGAGAGGCATTATCACTGACCCACCCTTGGAATCCTTCCCACTAAGAATTGGTATGAGACATCTAAACACAGCCCCCACTACTTTTGGTGGTGAGCTTCCACGGCTGCCAAATCCCCCCTCAAAACAGAGGATCCTTCTGAAACTGTGCCGTTCATGAAGTGGTTTGGACCACCAACAGAAATACTGTTTACGAAGGTCTTCTTCCTTGTCCTGAGAGAGATTACGCACACTGATGCCAAGATTGATGGAAAGAGCTCCTATTAGAGAACTAGGTGTGGGGGAGTAGTCACCTGTAAGAAAAAGTGGGTTCTATTTAATTCTCTCCTCTATCTGCTATAGATTCCCTTGTAAATTAGTCATAAGAACTCAGTACTAGATCAAGATCGCAGCTTCTACCTGATAAGTTTGAATATTCAGTACCTGTTTGTGGAATAATGTATGGATATTCTAGGAAGAAGTTTCATGTTAATTGCTTTAGGGGTTAAAGGGTTGACAAATAGATTCCATGTTGCTGATTGTATGTTCAAATAAAGCAAATTGATGGACAGAGGACAAAACTTTTGATGCTTGTTAATTAAATCCATTTTGCCAGGTATGGGACTGGGCATTATGACCCAATCAATTTGAAGATTCAACATCCCCCATTCACCCCTCCCCCTCCCCCCAGTGGTTACTTGAAACATTTAAGAGACAAGTAGTAGCTCCTTCCCTTGTCTCAAATAACCACAGGCAGACCATTCAGCTTCCAAATGCTGTTTGAACAGTGAATTTACAATGAATCTATTGAAGCACTGGCTACATATCCAGCCCTAGCTCAGTTTGAACACTTGTACAACTTACAGGAATTTCAACCCACAGATCTTCTTTAATTCATAATTCTCCTTGCTGTCTGTCATGTAGTTCTTTAGACGTTAGTTTGGCGAGTTTGGTATTGGATCAACAACTAATCCCCGAAATGACATTTTTTAAAATTTTTATCACTTGTGTGCTGGTGATTGTATTGATTGTATTGTAAGGAGAAGTTCTATCTTGCTCACTCATGAGTTAAAAATGTTTGATGTTGTAATGATTCTATAGTTCTTTACTTCTATAATCATAACTCTATACTTCTATATTACTCTATAATTCTAAAACTTTTGAATTCTGCTATCCTAAACTAAAATTCTACTTCGCTTTGTATCGAGCGATATGAAATAACTGCTTGCTCATTAAAACAATATTAATTTTGTACATCTTAAGTCTTCAAAATAATCTTCAAGGTTCAAAAACCACCGAGGCGTCACTGAGGCGATTAGAGCTGGTAAATATGTGATGTTTTTTTTTTCCACGAAAGAATCTAAGCTGTTTTTGATAAAAGCTTATCTGGATATTTGATATGTGGGCGACGTGACAAACATCTTAAACATCTCCTTCACTTAAAGGTCTTCATCGACTCGTTATCACATTATCAACTTACAAATAATCGAGTAAAGAACACATGTACTGACATCGAGCATTTGGAGCTCGAAATCGCCTAAACTCCTCTTGTGGTCTTGTTGACCTTCTCTGTTTACATCGCACCTCACCTGGGAACGCGGAGACAACCAAAACATCGACTTGTTCTTCCTTCGACAGCTTCGTGATGTCTCCGATACACAACTGAATACTGCTTACTCCGCTTGAAGTTGTCAGCGATATCGTGTCGTGAACAATCAGCGACATTTTGGCTAAAACTGTGTTTACATCCCATGTACATGTACCTTTCCGCCGGCTCTTATCCGGTGAAGTTGTGTCGAGTTCTCTGGTCAGAAAGCATATTGATCACATGGGTTATTTAAATCGGCATACTTAGATACCGCCAATCACAAGGCGCGGCATAATTGATGATTATTGAATGATTATTCCGACGACAATTTATTGCATGAGATGCCTGTGGCATACCACGGTAAAAATTCGGCTGGGTTTCTTTTTCATTGCATGGACAAATTGAAAAGCTAGCCAAATAGGAATGCGTAAAATCTTTATCGATTTTTATGTAAGTTAAACATTGGTAGCTGGATTGATTAGAAGCGGACGAAATGAATCGTGTGCTTTTCTGAAAAAAGAAAAACCTGTGACATTCATTTCTGCGTATCTTGTATTTCATCCAGTCAAAAGGAAAAAACAGCGGTCACATTGAGTGCGTTCTGAGGTATTTTCGTTCCGAGGCAGAAAACTTGTCAGATAAAAGCTTGAGAACACCGTGTAAACAAAGATCCTTGTATTAGAATGCAAATGTATATTGAGCCATTGTGAGGCGAAAAGTGACAGAATTGGAAAATAGTGGAATTTGGCTCGTGCAGGCGGAGTAAGATTTTGATTTCAGCGGCTAAATTTGACGAATTTTGCAAACGGAAATTTGATACAGATCAGTAGGTTCAGTGTTACAGTTTGTTTCAGAAAGTCCAAAGGTTTTTGAGCTGAAACTCTCCACTATTTTCAGCTACAAAAACAGTCACGGATTTTCCACAGTGATTTCTTCGGCTAATCAACCTGACTTATCATGGTAGTTTACAGTAACTGCACAGTTCCTTTCAATGCTACACACAGTAGCCAACGCATTCCACGGTAACGCCTTAAGGCGTCTTGTATTGGTAATACGACCGAGTGGAGTCAAATAACGAAAATTAGTAAGAATTGTAGAATTAGTCGAGTTATGAAAGAAAGGGAAACTTTGCATTAAAAGATTGATT